AGGTTCTTGGGACTTAGGCTTATCACACAGATTCCATGATGGAATTATGTAGGTGATGTTGATATCAATAAGGATTCCTACTGGAAACCAAATACTGTTGAGAACCATAGCCGAAGTGGCCCCAGCAAACTTCCAGCTGCCGGCTGATGATTGGCTCACAGCGGCCCCAGCAACATCTAGCTGATTGGCTCCTCTGCGGTGATGCTCATTGGGCTGTTTCCCTGCCCTTTCAGACCACGGAGCTGCTCATTGGGGGACTTTTTTGGCTCCGCCCACGTGACCCAGCCAATCGGCCTCAAGAGCAGGAGGATTGTGGGAGGTGGAGAGAAGCTTGTGTGGGAGAGAGAGGCTTGTGGAAAGCCGGTGGTGGCAGTTGAGGCTCTGAGGGTTTTTCCTGAGAGGCTGTTTTGTTTGGCGTGTGTGGTTCTAAAAATAAAGTTAGTTTCTTTTGACAAGTGGCTCCTGATTGTGCCCAGCCAGACTGCAGCAAGATAGCCTCTGGCTTTCTACGAAACCCACTTCATCGTGGCATGGCTACCCAAAGTGAACATGGAACTGGGAGGAGAACCCTTTCCTAGGCACTTCCACTTGGATCATTCCCTTCCCACCAGACTTCCAAGAGAACAGGCCTCTAACTCCACTGTTGGGCCTTGAATCACATGCTATCTTGCTTTTATTCTGAATGGCTTCACATGCTTATGTCCATCTTCCCAGGCACAGGGAATACTTTAAACTGTCAGCATACAATAGACCCTCAATAAACACATGCTGATTTCTTGAAGCATCTAAGTTCTACATTCCCATCTTGAGAAAGGAGCCCACTCTTGTTTCCAAGCAGCTTATTAGCTGAATTTAAACAACTATTTAGCTAGGACCCAAATGCTATCCATATTTCTTTCAATGTTCTTCTAGTTTATTGCATGGTGCTTAAGTTTAGGCTGAGGATATTTATGCCAGTAACATCAGAAAAAGGCATAAACAGCATGACTATCACTTTAATTCTGCTTTGTTTTGCAGAGTTGCTGGAGCTGACAACTTCACAACAAGGTGTCTGCTTCCCATAAATCAGAGTAGGCAATTTTTCTCCAATTATATTTTAATTCATGGATAATCATTCTCCATAGCAGGTGGCAAGTAGAAGGGGGCTGGAAGCCAGGGAGAAAGAAGGTATGATAAAGTATTAAATAATTTTTATTTGAATTTGTACCAGCAAGTATTGTAGGAATAGCAGAGACAAAATGCATCTGGTAACAGAACCCAGGTGAACAGAATGCATTAAGTGAATATTGGATGCATCCAGAATCATCTCCTCAGCCAAATGTAGTTCAGTCTAAAACAGATCGTTTCTCACTTAGATTCTCTGATTGCCTAATTCTTCATTTCGTCATAAAGCCCTCCTTCCACCTTTTGCTTGGGGATTCTGAACATGAACTTAAGATTGTTCTAAGAACTGCACTGTCATCTAGGACTTGATCTACACCACAAAAAAAAAAAAAAAAAAAAAAATGCTTTCCTTTATCTAATGTGTCTTGTTCCAGTATTTGGAACACCCATGTACAGAGAAATTAATTAAACAAACCTTAAAAGGACCCATATGTCTTACTAAAATTGTACTCCTAATCTGTTTGCCAAATTTTTATTAACCACATTATGTGACAGACACTTTAAAGTACAGAAATGAGTAAGACACAAGATCTCGCACTCTAAAAGCTTCCGACTAATAGGAAAATCACTTACACAAGCAGAATTCTTATCCAATTGCCAGCTCCAGCCCATCCTCCCTGCCTGCTCCATCTCAGGACAGCATGTACCACCTGCCCTGGTGGTTTATACCTATACCTGGATATCACCTTTGATTCTATGATCTCATGTTGCTCCATCCTGATGGCTAAACTCTGATCCAAGCCACCATTATCTTTCATTTGGCTTAAGGAAACAGCTTTCCAAATGATCTCCCACTTGTATACTACATTCTCTAAGAGATATACACTCTAATTTTTATAGTAAATACACCTTTAGGCTACTCCCTTGATTAAATCTCTCCAGTGCCAGTGCCCTTAGAAAACTGACTCCTTCCAATAGCCTAATGGCCCTTCATTAGCTGGCACTTGACTACCCCCAACCTCACCTTGTACCTCTCTTCTTGCTTACTAAATCCCACTTACTCAGACCCTCTTTCCCCTTCTTACTTCAAAGTCACTGTACTTGCCTTCTTCTCTGCCTGGAACATTCTCCATTTCCTTCTTTCTTTCATAATTATCATCTCACTTTACTCAGGTCTTAGATCAAATGTCCTGGAAGGAGTGAGAACCTCTGAGCACATGGCTTAGCTCTGTGAGAAATGTCCATTCCTCAGGAAGCCTTCCCTGACCACTCCACAAACACTGCCCCAGGACATTTCATTTCATTTTACTTTCAGTATTTTTTTTTTTCAATTACCTGTTAATTGTTTCTGTTCTCTGACTAGCATGGAAACTGGTCTTGCCAGTACCACTGTCTTAGAATCACACTTGGTTCCCAGGAGGCACTCTGAAAAGGGTTTGCTGACATATGAATGGACATCACAAAGAAGAATGAAATGAGGACAACAGAAACACAGCAAGGTAGCATAATAAGGGGCATTTATTTTGGCTGGGAGGAGAAAAGTTGGGAAAAACTTCCAGAGGAGAAATCATTTGTATGGTGCCTTGGAGGATGAGTAGGTAGCCAAAAAAAAAAAAAAAAAAAAAAAAAAGCATCTCAGGCTCTGAAACTTACAAAGGAAAAGCTCCAAAGGATTTGAGGGCATGTCTGAGCAATAAAAACCAATTCTAACGTGGCCCAGAACATATGGAGGGAGATACTGAGAGAGTTACACAGATGATGAACCACTCAATGGCAAGGTGTCAAAACTTTATTATTCAGACAATGAAAAGACCTGAGGATGAAACTGGTATACTCCAAAATGCCTTTTATAAATACTAAGAAAAACTGCTTGAATTTAAAAACAAATAACAAAAAATGGCATTACTTTTAAGAAGACTATATATTCTCCTGCATTATGGGGAGGGAAAAGGACTTCAATCCCATGTTTAAATGAAAAAGAAGGAGGAGCTCAAGACACAGTGAGCCTGTGTCTCAGATGAAAGGCTGAGTACAGAATACTTTTTGGTTTTCAAGGCATAAACAGCCACATTACATTTCCAGATGGTTTCAAGTTAAAAGGTGTCACTGCTGCTTAGGATAAGAAAGGTGGGATGTGGACTTCAGGATTAACTGGATCTTGGGCTCAGCAATCACACTTCATATCACAGAACAATCTGATTAGAAAAACAGTATTTAAGAGAAGGGAAGCATACTATTTAAACTGAAAATAACCTAAAGACCTGCATACTTTATTACATAACATACACAAATGAATGATTCAATCCTAGTCACTGTTTTATCAACAGGAAGTTGCTAAAACCATTGGAAGGGAATTAAGAACCTATGACAAAATATGATTTCTGTGCCCTACCCCCTTTATTTTGGTGATGCTAGGTCTCGAACCCAAGACCTTGTGCATGCTTGGCAAGATCTCTACCACTGAACTCCATCCCCAGTTCATAAAATATACTTTGTGAAGTATTGACTATTCAGTTGGGCTGAGAGTTCTCACATCTCAGGGGTCTCATTAATAGGATTTATCTCAGAAAAGAATTGTTTAATGAGCCCAACTTTCCTCATAACACACGGCACAAGATAGAGAGGATGAATGATAAAGACAAAGGCAGATACAAGGGAGTGAACTGCTTGTGCTTCTACAAGTCTACAGACACACTGTTGGACCAGTTGGCTTTTTTCTTTATTTCTCCTTTAGCAAGGCTTAGGATCTGGGCATCAGCCCACTAGCCTATAAAAGGAGAAACCCAGAACTATGATCAAAGGTCTCTCCTGTGATGCTGACAAAATTCCTTGTAGGTATCTGCTTTCCACAAACCAGCGTGCTGACCCAATCTGAAGGCATGAGGACCTTTGAGCATATGGCTTAGCTCTGTGAGAAATGCGGAGTCAGAGGGTAAGAGGCCATGGAATTGGGCCCCAACCACAGTAAGTGGTAATGTGTTGCTGGAGTTAGAGACACCTGGATGCATACACTATAGCTCTAAATGAAAGTATGAGTGAACAAATGTATGCAAATTTCCCCAAATGTCACAGGAAAATAGCTGGCAAAAGAGAATGGATACAAGGTGCTTAATACAGTGGCTGGATGTAGTAAACACTAAACAATCAACAGTTCTAAAAGATGTTGTTCTTGTCAGTTGTATATACTTATTAATTCTATTATTTTATGTGAAGTTCTCTGGGGAAGAAAGATAAAATCATGCAGCCTCACAAAACTGGAAGGACCCTAAAAATCCCTTCATCCAGTTTCCTGTTTTCAGATATTTTTGTCATCACTGACTGTCACTTTCCTGATAAAGTCACCAGGAACTTGGGCAAATAGGCTGACCACTCAATTCACCATTAACCCCCTTTAAAATAGTCTTGTTTGTGTTCTCCATGATCCCCTAGTGTTTGAAAGTATTTCCTGGGCACTATATTAGATGCCCTAAGAGTTAAGGCTGCCTCTGTTATTACAAATAACTTACAAAACAAGATGAAAGTGTATAAGCCAAAGGGATCATGTGCTGAGTAATCAAAGTGCCAACTCTAAAATATTAGACAGTTATGAAAATGATAATAAAGCTCATAACAACCCTTGCTAATGCATATTGTGTTGTTAAGCAAAAAATCAGAAAACACAATTCTATTTATGTTGTAATTATAGCTAAGTAAAAGTATGTGTGTATATGTATGTGTGTGTGTGTGTGTGTGTGTGTGTGTGTATAGGCTAGGAAGCAACTTGAAAAATGACTACAGCTAATGTGCTAAGGAGGTGCTGTTGCAGAAGTTTTAAGTTCCAACTCGTGACTATAATGGAGCTGGCAAGGTGAATACCACAGCAGAGACAATCACAGGGAAGGAGGCTGTCCACTTACCCAGGGTTATACAGCATGACTGCGGACAGGTTCTCACAGGACTTTGAGAGGTCGGTCATGGACAAGCTGAAGGAGGACAGAAGGCCACTCTAAGAGCAGACACAGGGCAGAGTGGTTACCTTAGCAAGGAAGAGAAGGCCAGTGCTGCGGACTCACTGCTTCCAACTTGTAAGAGACAATGAGATGCACATGGTCCTGTTAGCATGCACAACAACTGGTCTATCTGAGGACAGCAGATCTGGAACCTTCAGGCCCTAGTTTAACCTCAAACCAAATCCTGAGTGAGAAGTACACAGGAGCCTGACATTCCAGTATAGGGGACATTCACCAGGAATTGCACAACCCAGATGGTCTCCTTTGAAGATTTTTAAAGTTAAAGTGGAGGAAAGAGGTCACAACCTCTTTGCCATCCTTCTCCCAGGCAGGCAGCATCACCCATTATTAGTGGCACTCACAATTACAGAATGATAAAGACCAGGGAGGCAGAGGTAAGGAAAAACCAAAAAGGTGAGAGTTAGACCTATTTTGCTTCCATGGAAAGCCACTGGCAAACAGGCTTTCTTTCCTCTGTTTCTCTAAGTTTATACCAAAAGAACCCTTAAGAGTGACTCTAGACTGGAACAGAAAAGAGGATTCAGGAGTGGGGCTATGGCTTAGTGGTACAGCACTTCCCTAGCATGTATGAGGCACTGGGTTTGATTCTCAGCACCGCATATAAATAAAATAAGTAAATAAATAAAGATCCATCAATAACTAAAAAGAAATTAAAAAAAAAAAAAAGAAAGAAAGAAAAGAGGTTTCAGTGGCCAGACCAGCAGCCTGGGGAAGGCTAGGGTCTATAGCTCTGTCCTCCATTCCCATCTTTGGTGAGTGCAACCCCAGGCAGTCCTTCTAGAAGAAGGCTGAGATGAGAGGCTATGTAACTTGATGGTTGAGGCAAAGGCCTCAGACTAGTTTCCTCATGTGGTGGTCTCAGAGCAAGTTAGAGAAAGTAAATCTCAGTCCAGTTTTTCCGCTCAGTTCTCTGGAACATGGGAACAATAACATCTGCTGTGCAGATAAAGTAATAGAATATACCCAGGATGTAAGCATAGTTCCTGGCTTAGAAATATTGGCTGGGGTCTTTACTGTCTTCATCAGTCTAAGGACCAGCCATGACATCCCTAGCAGATTTCCTTCCCTCCCATCTCTTCTCTTCTTTCTTAGGTCCTCAGCTCACACCCCCCAACCCCATTCAGCAATTAAAGCACCCTCTGGATGGCCCTATCTAAGCAAGTCAAAGTCCCTCCCCATTGTCCTAAACTCCTTCCTGCTCTACTTCACACCTCAGTTAAAAACCTAATTTACTGTGGCTGATTTGGGATTTGATGAAAGGGATTCCAATATTGGGTTAATTTCTAAGACAGATGTGATAAGTGGAAGTCATTCTTCATTAATACAAAATGATACCCAGTTCCTTCGGGGGATGGGGGGGAGGCTGAAGAGAAAGAGCTGTAAAGAGCAGGTTCTCTTTGTCAGCCTGGATTCCACTTGCTTGGTCTCTTGCTCCAACACCCCATTATCTGCCTGGAAGCCAACAGTCTAGAGTCTATCCAGGGTATAGAACTTCCTCTCAAGAGGTTCTGTATTTCAGAAAATTAAACTGTTGGAACTACAGTGAATACCTACACTCCCATGCCAGGTCAGAGGCTCCCTCCTAGACTTTATACCCTCACCTTTCTCTTCTCCCGGAGCTTGGCAGCTTCCTTCGGATGGTTAAAGCGAAACATATTGGTCCTTCCCAAGAGTATCACAGCACCTGAAAACACACAAAAACACTGATGCATTTATAATAAGCAATGTGGTCAGCTGTAAGAAATGTAATTTTCAGTGTACTATAAAATAATCAGGGAAAGTATTAGTCACCAAAGTCCACTGACACAAGTAAGTTTATTTATGTGTGTGTGTGTGTGTGTGTTATTGGAGATTTAACCCAGGGGCACTCCACCACTGAGCTATATATACCCCTAACCCTTCTTTATTTTTAAGACAATGTGTTGCTAAATTATTGAGGCTGACCTCCAATTTGGATCCTTCCACCTCAACTTCCCAAGTCTCTGAGATTATAGGTGTGTGCCACCTTGCCAGGCGCACATGTTAATTTTAAACCAGGAAAAACTTTATTTTTACAGGTGGATATCTAAATACTTATAATAACCAAGGCAAAAGTGACAAATGTAAGCATTACAACTATGATAAGATTTTAAATTTAATATATAGACAATTCCACTTTTGATAGTTTGAAAGCAGAACAAAAAACAGTTCTTAAAAGAGGTTTAACATCAAGCAAACATATGGTCACAAATTTAAAAAAAATGTTTACTCATGATATGAGCAGAAATCTCAAAGAAAAGTGCTTTCAAAAGAAATCATAGGCAGAGTACAGGTAACTATTACTAACATCTCCCTCAGAATTTGGTTTGTATGGTCTATTTTCAAGGGAATACACTATTTTCCGTCAAAACCCCATTAAAATTTAGGTGGCCACATTAGACACTCAAGAAAAATTCCTTTTGACAACTAGAGTCCTCCTTATTTAGAAAACGACTGCTCAGCAAGCAAAAAAATTTAAGGAAAATGCACAAGGATAAAAAGTTATAGGTGAGCATGCGGGTGGATTTCAACTTGATTAAGCAAAAACCCTTTCTTTTCTTTTTTGTGGGGAGGAGGGGAGTACTAGGGATTAATATCAAGGGCACTCAACCACTGAGCCACATCCCCAGCCCTATTTTTGTATTTTATTTATAGACAGGGTATCACTGAGTTGCGTAGTGCCTCACTGTTGCTGAGGCTGGCTTTGAACTTTTGATCCTATTGCCTCAGCCTCCCAAGCTGCTGGGATTACAGGTATGTGTCACTGCGTGAGAGACAAGCAAAAACCCTTTCTAAAGTCAGGACTGTTCAATGTAGCAAAGGAGTCATGCAGGGTAGTGAGCTCCATGTCACTGGAGGTGTTTAAGAGAAGTGATCCTGCAGAAGACATTTACAATCCTATTTGGTCCCATCCATGCCTGCATGTCCATAACACCTCAGAACATACCCCATGTTCAAACTAGTCTTGAGGGGGGGACTTATTTGTGAAGACCAGATACACATAATGAAGAAAGTCAACCATGAAGGATGATGAGTATGAGTGTGTGGTTATGTGTGTAACATCAGAGTGACATGTGCAGACTAGAGTAGCTGGTAACAGACCTCTGTACCAAGAACCTAAGCTGAATCTCACTAGATAACCAGAGGCCAAGAGGAGGTGTTCCCTGTGAGGTAATAGCAGAGACAGGCTGAGCCTTAGACTGGAAGATGGCCTGCTATGCTGGGGACAGCAGAGAAAGCCAAGTCCACCCAAAGCACAGGATGTTTAAAATGACAGCAAGAATCGACATTGGATAGAAGAAGCAGAACAGACTATGTATACCACAGGTGCCAAGACAAGAGTTTTCACCAGAAGTCAAGAACTGGTTGACAGCAATAAAACTCAGTCTATAGATAAGCTTTGTGTATCCTCTATAAGATTTCAAAGTCAAACTATTAATTGTCCAAGTTAAAAACTTGGGATTTCACATAAAACTACGTGTTTCTTTTAGCACTCCTAGGCAAATTAGAAGACACAGTGGATCTTGGCTGTCACTGCACAGAAAACTCTGTGGGCTGCTGGTGGCTGTCTCCTTTGGACAAAACACATAACCAGACTCTTGCTTGGGTCGTGTCTTTATCGGGACCCTGCAGGTGATATCATACCCCCAGATATATATTCTGGAGCTTCAGCCAGTGTTGTCTCTCTACCTATTTAATGTACTGTCATACTCTGTATGTCTCAAAGAAGTTTCAAATCCAGTATAGTTAAAACCCAACTGGTTCAGACCATAATCACCTAAGCTAACTGAAAGACTGGTTGTAGTTGTGGTCATTATTTAACAGAAATGGAGTCAGTATGAAAAGGAGAAGGTAGTTTTAGGAGATCCAGAAGGGCAGCAGTGGGTAGCATCCGTTCTACAATATATTTACCTCCTCATGTAAAATCACATTTGTATGTTTTCTAATAATGGAAAGGGATCATTAATATTATTAAGAAAGGTGTTTCCCATGCCTTTCACAACTAAGACTAGGTGCTATGGGCGGCAAATAAGTCAAAAGTGAAGCAATGATGTCTCAGGTATATGTATCTTTAATGTTCTTCAGATACATTAAAGATTAATAATGCAATCATATTCCAGGTGTTAATTACATCTAATCCAATTCCTTTTTTTTCCCTGTTAATCAAATGCCCAGCCATGCAAGTTGAAAATTGCTAAAATATGTTAATGGAAAAATAAAATAGCATTTCAGAGGCATATTTCAAATCGCTTTAAATCATTGAAAATAACCTTGCCACCCATGTTATTTGCATGAAATACACATAAAAAACCCTTTAAGGAGTTATAAAAGAAAGCAAAACTACCCATGACAATTCATTATTTCCATCAAAATAATGTGTGTCAATTGTATGGCATGTTAAAAGGGGCTCCATTATGAATGGCTTCCTTCTCTTTCCTCCACTGTACATTTTTACTCAACAAACACTGAATTTTAAAATGTGCTTCATTTTTACATGATGCTGGATTCATTTAATCAGTAAATACCTGATGAATGCTTATTGTATGCTAGTCATGGTGCTAAATATTACAGATACAGAGGTAAACAAATCAGAAAATGCCTTGCCCTTGTGGAGCTTAAGTAGAAAATAGGAGAGAGGGATAAATAATCAGATAATTGCATAAATGAATGCAAAACAGCAGCTGAAGAAAAGAAAATATGCTCAGGGAACCAGCAGCAAAAGAGGAGGGGATTTACTTTAAGGGAGGCTGGGGAAGGATTCCCTGAAGGAAGCAGTGCTCTGAGGATGAGTTGGGGAGAGGGGCATGTGCAAAGGTCCTATGACAGTAAAAAGCAATGATAATGATGAGTGATTAGAAGATAGTCAGATGGCTGTGGCAGAGGGAATAAGGGACATCATTGTGTAAGATAAGGCTTGAGAGAGAAAAATGGAGACAGTGGAGCACCTCAAACCTTTCAGGATATATAAAGTCTCTTTTGCTCTATGTAGTTGCAATAGAAAGACACTGTAATGGCACATGATTATGTTCGAGTTTTGGAAAGATCATTCTTGCAATTGACTGAAGAATGACCAAAGTGCATGAGAGTAATGTGAACTGAAAAGCTAGGTGACTCTCAGGTTAAAGTGGATGGTGCCTCAGGACTGGGTGACAGCAAAGAAGACAAGTAAACAAATCTGAAAGTTATTTAGGAGACAAAATCAACATGATTCAATGATGGGTTAGATACAGAGAGGAGAAGGGAGGTGAGGAAGCCGGATCCTGGGTTTTGGACCACATTGCTGGCTGGCTGGGGCACCATCTACTGAGACCAGGAATATTGAAAAAGGACCAAGACTTGATTGGGAAAAGAGTCATGAGTTTGGCTTGAGACATAATGAATTTGAGCTGCCTTTAGCAAATGAAAATATGTATCTGAGGCCCTAAAAGAAAGGCCTATCCTATCTACCTACCTACCCACCTGTTAATTATTTACCGAACACCTGTACATATATGTATGTGCACATTTTTATAAGCATATATACACATATACAAAGATATTAGATATATTAGTGTAAAAGCCTAGTGTGTGTGTGTGTGTGTGTGTGTGTGTGTGTATTTGAGAATTCTTTCTAAGAAACAAAGTCACAGATATGAGAATGTTATTCAAGGAGAAAAGAGGGAGGTAGAAGAAAAGAGGACCTAAGATCAGCACTTGAAGGATGTGGATTTAATGGCCAAGTAGAGAAGGATGAACGTGCAAAAGAAAAGGGAAGAGCCATCAGATAGAGAGAAGGAAACTCTCAGGAGCCAAAGGAAGAAGTGGCTATTGGTTCAGAGTGCTTCTGAGAGGTGGTGTGGTGGCCTTAGTTGGTAGTAGCAAGAAGCCAGAACAAAGGGACTGAGGGGTGAGAGGTAAGGGGTGCAGATCTACCAAGTGCACACAACTCACTGAGAAGTCATAGACAGAAAGATGGAGTTGGTAGTAGTCAGGATCCCCATGGGATTTTTGTTTTTTAAGAAAATTCCTGAGTATACTTAAAAAACAATAAGTGAACCGAAAGAAGCAGATGAATGAATGAATGAATGAATAAAAGGACAAATTAATGAGAATGACAATTTCTGCATGAGACCCAGAACATGTGTCTGGCCAAAGACAAGTCACTCCTTAACTTCTCTAGAATTCATCAATCTGAATAACTCCTAAGGTTCTTTCTAGGTCTTAAATTCTTTTTTAACTATGAACTGCTTCTTGCTCTGAGATTAATGTGATTAATCATAGCAGATGGACTTTCTGTGATACACTTAATTTGTAATTTTGAAAGCGTATCTAAACCACTTTGAAATATATGATGGCTTCTTTGAGATTACTTCAGAGCTTGTTAAATACCTGAAGACAGACAAATTCCAGATGGTCTTAAAAGTGAATGAAGAGAAAAATGACATTGTAAAAGGAAAATGACATTTCTAAAAAAAGAAAGAAAAGCTGAATTTATATTTCTGTGAATAAGAATCACTTAATGCTGGTTTCACATGAGATTTTCTTATTTTAATATTTTAAGCAAGCAAAAAAAGTATGTAAATATTTCCTGAGATTTCTAAGGAGTGTAGAGTAATAACTAATGTCACCATTAATTACTCTCCTCCTTAAATTTTAGATGAGATTTTCTAATTCTGTTACTGCACA